GCAATGGTCAAGATTGTACCATTGGACAACATTATACGTGCCTTACCGTATCCTTCGATCAGGTTGGATGGGCTTGAGAGGGTTGTCAGAGGTGCATTCTTAGGTACGAAGTTAGTGAAATAGATGCGTTCACGCAAAACAGTATGCGTGGTTGCACTATCTGCCAGACAACTAACTTTCCCACTAGTCATACCTAGAATGAAAAATTAATTTGAATCGGTCACATGCATAAAAGTTTATAAAAACAAGTATCAATTCAAAATAATTTCATTTATTCAAGGATTAAAAACTTAATATCCAAAATAAATCGCCAACTAATAATCCAAAACATAAAGGAAAATTGTTCAAAATCAACCAAAAAAAACAAGGTGGGGTTCGGCCACAAGGTGGAATTCAGCCCCAATTGTCTTATTTTAACTGAAAAATAAGTCTATGTCTAAGATTCTAATCTTCCATAGGAGTGGTATCCTCCTGAAAATCAGAAACCTCCATCTTTGTAGTCTCCGGTTCGTCCACTTGTAGGAAGTTTGATTCAAACTTCGTACGACGAGAATGATATGCATCCACAACCTTCTTGGGAGCACGGCAAATACGGGACCAATGGTCCTTGGAACCACAACGATAGCACATATCGTCATTCATTGTGGCAGGTGCTTTGCCCTTATTCTTGAAGTTCGGGGCCTTGGGAGCGAGGTTTGGGCGCTTCTGGGCTTTGTTTCCTCCCTTGGATGGGCCTTGGCTCTGTTGACCTTGGTGGGATGGCTTCTGGCCGCCCTTACCACGCCTCTTTTGGCGTTTTGGGTGCTGATTAGTGCTATAATGTGCTTCAGGCACAGCAGTAGCCCCAGTAGGTCGAGCTTGATGATTCTTCATCAACAGCTGGTTCTGCTTTTCAGCAAGAAGTAAAACAGAGATCAAATCCGAGAACTTAGTGAACTTCTGAGCTCTATATTGTTGCTGCAGGACAATATTAGAAGCAGAGAAGGTCGAGTAGGTCTTCTCCAGGAGATCCTCTTCAGTCAAAGTTTCATTGCAAAACTTGAGAAGTGATCGGATTCGACAAACTTCAGAATTATATTCATTCACAGACTTAAAGTCTTGGAAAGCGCAAGTGCTGCCAGTCGTGCCGTGTCTTGCTTCAGGCAAGAATATGTCCTTTTGGTGATCGAAACGATCAGCCAAAGCGACCCATAATGCACGTGGATCCTCCTCAGCAAGGTACTCAGTTTGTAGAGCGTCATGGATATGTCTTCGGATGAAGATCATAGCAGTGGCTTTTTTCAGCCTCGCCAACAGGTTTATCTGTTGCTTCTTCAATAGCAGGACGCAAGTTCTTTGCAGTGAGGTGGAGCTTCACATCTTGAACCCACTTGAGGTAGTTCCTTCCAGAAACCTCCAAAGCGGTGAAGTCGAGTTTGTTCAAATTCGACATGTTCCTATCACAAAATAGATGGACAAGATGTGGTTAGTGTAATGGAGAAAAATCAATCCATTCACATAGGAGTAGAACATACAGGTTCTAATAGACATGTATTGGTTGAATTTTGCATGAAAAACTTCGGGTTTTCATGGGTGATATGTTTAAGTGAAAACTTCGGGTTTTCTAACAAGGCATGTGTATAAGAAACTTCGGGTTTCAAAGTAATTATGAACTTCAGGTTCATATATTCATGCAGGCAAACACAAATATATATGCAAACAAATATGCAAAGAATATATGCAGAAATATTGTATAATGATAAGTGAATTAATTTATTTTTTTGGTCTTCGGGGGCCAAATTAAAGTGTGGGTGAAAATATAAAAACCCATATTATTTAAAAGTATTAAATAATAAAATCTCGGGGCCTAAAAATATAGGCCGAGTACCCCCGGGTGTAGGCTGCAGGCCCACGGGGTGAGAAAGGAATGGGCTGCTGTGTGCAGCCCTAAAAAAAATTTTCTCCTTTTTTCGGTATGGGCCGCTGCAGGCGAGCCCAGGAAAATAAAAAAACAAATTGTTTTCTTTGTGGGCTAGGCCGCTGCAAGCGAGCCCAGCAAAAAAAAATTGTTTTTTTTTCTTTTGTTACACGGGCCGAGAGACAGAGCCCGAGTAGGGTTCGGGAAAGAGACCCAAAAGAAATCCCAGCCGTGCTGGGTGTGCGATGCCGAAGAAGAAAGCCGGAGTTCGTGGACGGCGCCATGGCATGCGGTGTGTCCAGGGTCGAGCAAGCCATGGTTCGTCGAAGAACCAGGTGTTTGTTGATGAAGAAGAGATCTCAACGTCGATGGAAGAAAAAAAATTGAATGAATTCAATTGAATTCGAGTGAAGACCCATGAAATTCTTCTGGAATTTCTAGAAATCGTTGGTGAAAACGATGGGTGGTGTCCAAGTTTGCACGACTGCAGGTCGTGTTGTGTTGGAAAATCGACGGCGAGGACCTAGGCTTCAGGCCGTAGGTAGGGACAAGGTGCTTCAAACGCACCGTTTCGGTTCAAGGCTTGCGGCATGGGTTCTCGGTTTGGGTTGGGCCATCGCAGGCTGCGGGCCTGGTGGCTTGCGGCCTTGCATGGTGCACAGGCACGGGTTAGACTAGAACCCTAATTTCCCCAATCGCAAAATTTTTTTTTTTCAATTCAAATATATTACATGTATAATTTTAATGAATCACATATTTACGTTGATGCATATGCAAATAATAGTTTCAATGCATGTACATATGTAAGATTCAATTCATGACAAATATCAAATTCACATAATTGTAGCAATTTTGATGATGAAGCATACACAATTTATGTAGAATCTAAAATACGTTAAACGTAAAGTTGGGTCATGCATCATGGTGAATGTTCATGCTATCAGGGCTTGCAAAATATCGAGTTAAAAACCGTTGTTTGGAAAGAACCTGATTGCGTGATGATATGGATGAACTGGTTTGATGCAGAAAAAATTTCCAACGTCAGATTCCTAAGCGCAGCGGTAGGAGCGTGCTGATAACGTGTTGTGGTCTATTTTATCTGACAGAGGGACTAGGGTCGGCGACAAAGAGAGAGGAGAGAGATGTGTGTTTGTAGAATTGTAGGGGAATGTGTGTGTTGTTATCCCTCCTACATTGTGCCTTTATTTATAGTAGTAAAGGGAGAGAAGATATTTCTTCTCCTCCAAGTAATACAAGTTGTAATAGAAAAGGATAACTAGAATCAAATCTTATCTAGGATTTACACAATCATACTTAAACTAGGAATGTTTACAACAGTTTAAAAATTGTTACATCATTTTTAAGTGTCATAATCACAATTGAATTCTGCATCATATGTTTTTTTTTAGTACAATAATATATTTTACATTATTTAAAGAGAGAAGTTTGATTGAACCACACAATAAGTAACCTAATTTGATATCAAATTCAATATTTACGATATTCAAAATTAAAATCTCTCACTTGCAAATAAAAGAAAATATCATCGTAATACTGAATAGATTACATCATTCGTTTTAAGTCGGTTTACCAAAATTTGTTATTATGTTTGATTTGATGACTGGTGAAGTGAGACTAGGTTAGGTAACAAGTCTTTCTCAGTAGGGGCTTAAGAGTCAACATACAATGTCCCACTCGCTTTAATTAATAAAAATTATTTTGACTATTATCTTATCAACACTCGTTTACGGAAAGGAATCCTTTCTTGATCCTTTTTCATCTAATTTAGATCTGTTGAAATTTAATTAAACAGTTATAAATAGAAGATTTCTTTAAAAGTGATAATAAATATAACTGTTAAGTTAAATTTTAACAATCCAGGTCCTGAATTAAGTGGAAAGTGATCCGCTCTCTTTCCCTCGTTTACCATCATAATCCAAATTAAGGTTACTATTTAATTTGGATCTCCAATCATTGTGGCTTGGCTAATATAGAATTCCTCGCCGAGATGGTGGTGGTTGTTATTGGTAAAAAAAAAAAAACAAAGATATTTCTAAGTATATACTATTTACCATCCTTGCTAGGCTGTTTGTGGCTACATTTCAACACTCAATAATGTATGGCATGTTCCAATCTTTGTTTTTGAATTACAGCCACGTGATGTTGTTATTTTGTTGTATATTTTGGACTTAACAGACTCTTACCGATCATTTTACACCTTCTCATAATCAGTAACATGCTCGGAATTATACGTAGACCGAGGTTGCCATACCTCTCCTAGCCATCGTGGAAACAAGACAGTCCTCATGAAATCACTCATTTAATAGATGATTGTCACAAGTTTAAAAAGAACACCACTCATCCAAAAGGTTAATGATTTCTTTACTTACAAGTAGAGGTAACAAATTAACTCATTGACTCATTAATGATATCTATTAAGACCTGCTTAAATTTGATATCACCATAACATAAATGTGAGATTGGTAATGATGATGATAGTGTAAGATGAAATGAAATCAAACGATTTTTAACATGCATTTATTAACAATCCAATGAACTAATTTGTTACATCTAGTTACAAGGGAGTATTTCCACTGCTGAAATAAGTCTAAATTTTTATATTAACGTGTGTAATTATTTTTTATAAAAATACTTTATAAAAGCATATGAATATATCGTTCACACGTATTATAGTATATACGTGAAAATAATGTACCAAATGAAATATTTTCCATACACGCAAAAGGTTCTTCCATCCTAGCCGTATGATTTAAGAGGGAAAGCCATAATGGCACAAAAATCATACAAATCAACTCCATCTCACCCGTTGATCACCTCTCAATCACCCCAATCAGAAATCCAACGGTGGATACGCTTACAGAAAAGGGTACACTTCAGAACACACCAGAGCCATCCCCCACCCCACGCCTAATTATGTAAGGCCGCCTCAAGGAGGGAGAAACGACAGATACGTGGAAGAAAACAGGTACAGAGGGATTGGACTTAAATGCATGGGATAGACATGACGTCTGATCACGCCACGTGGACGGTGGATATCAGCCACTCTCTCTCCTCCACCGCACTATAAATTGAGGGTCATGGCTTCCTATGGTTACTCGTTCAAAACAGAGCTTGCGTTTATCTGCTTCTTTGTCATCAATTCAATCAAACTTTCCGTCGGGAAATTTTCCGTCTCCAATTCCAAAAATGTCGTCGTGCTGCGGTGGTAAATGTGGTTGCGGGTCCGGCTGCAGCTGCGGCAGTGGCTGCAACGGGTAATCTTTCTACCTCTCTGTTTGTTTTCCGAGAATCTGGAAAAAAGAAAATCCCAGAAAATTTCTGCTCTGATTTGGGTTTTTGACTACATGGGTTTTTGTTCAGGTGTGGGATGGCTCCTGATCTGAGCTACATGGAGGGGTCCACCACTGAGACCCTCGTGATGGGAGTTGCTCCCCAGAAGTCGTACGTATTCTCATCTCTCAGAAATGAGATCCCAAATTATTTTTGAAATATGTAATTTGCAGATTTTGTGGTTATAATTTTGGGAGACACGGAGAAACAGAAGTAGATGGACACCAAACCGACAATAAAAGTTTTAAAACGACAATAAAAGGGAAAAGGACTCCGATCCCTTCCTCCAATTCAAATCAGGAAATTTATGATGTTGAAATTTTTTTCTTTACTAATTAATGAAATCTTTTTGTCAATCAAAAAATGAAAGATAAATTAGTTTTTTGTTACAAAAATATGATGGGTAATAATGTAATTTTAAAGGTTTAAATTTTATTATTTTTATTGAAATATTACTTGCCGATGATATTAAAATACCTTTAATATTATATAAAAAAATAACCAAAAAATACCTTCCCAACTCTCCCAGTTCTCTCTCTCTCCTATTTTTTTTTAAATGTGTTCATACATATAAATTGCAAGTAAATATTAGTAATTTTTAAAGTGAGTTTCTGTTTGTAATCGTTGAATCTGTAAGGATTTTCTGATTTGATGATTAGGAGAAAGGGATATGCGGAGTGGATTTATTCCCAGTAAAAGGAAACAAAATCATGATTTATGTACGGTTTATTGTCTGTTTAACATAAGTTAAATTTGTCTTTGTTTTGTTTTTATTGAAACCGCGATCGGTATGATTTAGGGAAGCATGGAGAGAGAAAGCATCATTTATACACTGACTTATTGTCTGTTTCGGAGCGCTGTAACATTTGTTTTGTAATTTTGATGTGCAGTCACATGGAGGCATCTGAGATGGGAGTTGCTGCCGAGAACGGATGCAAGTGTGGAGACAACTGCACCTGCAACCCCTGCAACTGCAAGTGAGAGGGACAGATGGCACCTTCTGATGAAGCAAGAGAATCGCGGGGCTTATATGTTTAGCAGTAATATATGTATGTGTGTGTGTCGTAATCATGAATCATGATCCAAATTTACGAAGGTCGTGTTTTTAGAATAAAGTGGCCATGGCTTCTTCTGAGCTGCACGTCCTACTAGGCTGGGATCTGGTCCTAGGTTATGGCTGCTTGTTGTCTGTTTGCTTTGTACATGCAGTAGTCGTATTTGTGTTTTTATGTTCGTGTTAACTTGGTGGATCGTATTATGTGTTTCTGATGAAATTAATGAAAAACTTGCTCCATCTTTTGCTTTAATTTTTGGGTTAATTGACAAGGAAAACGAGTGCAATAAGTTCCAACAACAAAAGTTTCTAAGATGTTCTGGGGAAATTTGGAGTACAACATATTTCGATGTTTTAACCTTTTAAGAATTTGTCAAACATCCAACGATTATCGGAGAATTTGTGTAGAAAGTCGTATATATGGAGGAGAAAAACACACAAGAAGAATTAGATTAGATCTGTTACTAATCCAAACATTTTTAAAAAGGGATTTTAACAAAAAAAAAAAAATGGTATTATTTATTTTAACGAAAAATTATATTTTTATAATAAAAAATTAATATTAGTACTATTTATTTTATTTTTTTATTTCGTATTTATCGTTAACTTAAAATTTTTAAATTATTTTTATTAGTTTTTTTTTTTTTAAAAATATTAACCATCTATTTGGGATAATAATTTAGCCATTAATAAGACTCCAAAAAAATAATCATCAAAGTATTTGGAGAACCATCAACCCTATCCTTTATTTCGTTCCATGGTTAAAAAAAAAAAAAAGAACAAAAAAGCAGGAACTAGTGGTAAGCTATGGTTATTAACCTTTTTTTGGTCCGAAACCGGGATTGTAATTTTGTTATGTCGGTGGTTACGATCAAGCAGATCTAACGGCTCGAAATATTTCACATTTTTTCAAAACTCACCCATCCAATATTTATTGTATGGTTGTGGTTCAACCACATTTTTTTGTTGGAAACTCACCCTCGATCTAATATTTATTGTATGGTTGTGGTTCACGTTACGCTTTGGACGGGCGATGTCTTTATGCTGGGAGCAGCAGCTTTTGGGCACTCCACATGTTGGTCGAAAAAGTGTCACCGTGACATCTCATGTTAGTGTAACATCTCGGTGAGGACAGTTTCAATTGTCGAACGAAAATATGACGAAGCATAAGTGCCTTGCCGTATCAATGACTCAGCAATAAGGCTTTGTAAATTTCATTCAGTTCAAGATTGTAACAACAAATAGATGGAATTCATTAGAAATCATGAATAATCTTCGTTGCTAGTTTACAAATCAACACAAACAGGGTCTTTTCAGTCTTTTACAATGACACGTCCATAAGGTTTTACTTGGGCGAGAAATTTCCGTAGAGCTGCCTTCTCACACGGGGTTTGACCAACTTGAGGTTGGATAGATTAAAAACTAAAATACAGGAGGTTTTAGAGTTGGAGTTGACGTGGTCAGACACCCCTATCCAAATTTCACATTTGCTTGACCTGTGAAATATCTGAGCAGCTGAGTGTTGCCTTTATTTCCTTATCAAGTACCCCTATCGCTGCTTTGTTAAACAGGTTGACAATCTGTTAAAAGAAATTAATTAGAGCAGATTAGTAATCATTCATCATTCAACGGGGAAGGTTGTGGTGAAACTGTCTTCTGGGATCACCTGCTTAGTTGAGAGGCCTATTTTCTCCAAATCGTTCAGCTGAAACATGCAACGTTCAACATCACAGTTACTCAAAAACTTAGTTCCAATTTCGCTGTACCGTTCCAATTTTATCGGATAGTCCATGAAAAAACAAATGTAATTCAAGTTTCATCTGTTCCTAAACCTTAATAAACTTGCTTACCGATTTTAAAGGGCTCGTTTCTCTGAGCTCGAGTATGTATTCAGCCATTTTGACTCCTATTCCCTGATTGATGAACGCGAGGGAAAAAGAAAGTATCAGAAGGCAAGTAATTATTTTAAGAACACACAAAGATGCAGCATTTGATAGGAACCTTTAGCTCCAGCAGCTCTTCCCTGCGGTTGAGAAAACCAGTCGAAATATTAGGTTCATTTGGTATGATTGAGTGAAAAATGCAAGAAACGAAAAAACGAAGAAGCTTCAAAGAGATGATAAGATTTTTACCTGTTGGCTGTGTTCAAGAAGTCAATATAATCTTGAAGTAGGAACTTCTGTGCAATAAGCGAAAGAAAAACAGATGAAAATCACATTAAAAAGCTAGAACTTAACTAATAGAGTTGTACGTAATGATTGTACCTTCAAGTTTGATCCGCAAGCAGTGAATTTATCAAGTGGGGTGCCTGTCCTTTGGAACATGTTTTTCGTGCAGGTCGCTAAAGAGGGAGTTTTCGGAGTCTTTGGATCAAAGAGTAGGGTGCAATCTCCATTTGTGAATAAGGGTTCACTGAGGGGATTTTGATTTATATTGGTGTTGATCGGGGAGAGAGCTTTTCTCAAGGAACTTTGAGGTGTGTTTTTCTTCCCGCTGACGGGTGATGAGTCGTTTGCAAAGTTTTCCTCCTGGTTTGGTGGTTCAGCTATGCATATATACAAGAAAATAGTGCATTTATTCAATTTGTTTAGAGTGTTTGAAGGAGCATATTAAGTAATAAAACCATATAGAGCTGAAACATACCAGGTAAACTTGTATTTGATTTGAGAACGGATCCACAAGCTCCAGCATTGCCCACTTGTTTATTATCCTTAGCGGCGAATTGCAGGCTCTGGAAAGCAATTCCAACTCATAAATACACAATGACATAAACATCAAACGCAAGATAAACTAATTCGGAATGAATTCAGTAGCTTCTCATCCCCAAGTGGAACTGTTAAACTCAAACTTTCAAATAATATGCCATCTCATGAATATCCTAATGTGATGAATAAAGTTTCACAATAGAGTAAGAATAAGAATATATTGAATACACTATAACGTAGTTCTAATTTTATCATTTTCCATCCATGTACTCCCTAAAATTTAGTAATTACCTCCAAATTGGAATCAACTAGACTTTCATTGTCGATTATGTTCCTGATAGGTCTTTTGATTGTCCTGCAAAAAATTTCAACAATCAAACAAAAGTGACTAATGCATAGCATGAAGGATATACAATTCAACTAGTTACTTGTCATTGTACCTTTCTTTCACAGAGCAGGCGCTTCTGTTTGTATTAACCTTGGATTTCATAGAACTGAGGTTGATGCTGGGTTTCTTGACATTAGCAATAGAAGAACTTGGAGATTTCCCCAACAAGGGAGAATTGAATGCTTCAATTCTTCGCACACTCTTTGTCTTTCCTCTTGATTCAAGCCAAGTACGGAGTTTGGCTTCCATGTCAACTTTAACCTTCGGGGTCTCTTGCTTGTGAGCTGAAGGAACAAAGTTGGTAATGTGGCGTGACCGAGCTGCCAAGCTGACAGTATGAACAGACTCCTGGTACTCTCCTGGATTCTATTATCAAAGAAAATTGTTTCCAATATAAGTTTCAAAGAAAAAAAAAAGATAATAATAAGTACAGGCCAGACGAAAGCACTTCTATTCAAACGCTAATTCAAACTTCTTACCAAGCAAGTAATCATCAAAGCCTGACTCATCCCACCTAGTGAGTCTTGCAAAATACGAGTCAATTTACTCTCTCTATAGGGCACTCGGGATAAGTTGTTGTTCAGTGCATAAATGACATTTGATAATGCAAACAAGGACTGGTTAATCTTCGCACTCTCTTGGAGACGGATCCCTTCGTTGCAAGTTCTTCTATTATCTTCATTACCTGCTTGAAATACACATGTAGATTAAATAAAGAAAAGACAAAGATCATGTACTTTATTTATAGGGAAAAGTTTAGGAGTGAGAAAAGACCTGCTAAATCTATGAGATTCAACTTCCCAGTAACAGCATCCCCAGAACCATCATCAAGAGTTGAAACGGCAATCACAAGGACACCATGGCTCCTACTAGACACATCATTGAGACCTGTATGGGCAGTTTTCCGCCTCTGAATCCCACAAGAAAAGGCCTCATAAAACTCAAACATGGACTTTACAGGGACCCGAGACAGCCCCTTAAGATGAACCTGCCCATCTTTGTCATCCAAAACCGTAATTTCCTTGGCTTTGATCTCTAACAGGTCATAACACCTGTCCATATAGACCTCGTAGTATGATAGCTCAACTGAGCTTCCTGTGCTCTGGCACATAGACAGGATTTTGGACATGGACAGCTCCATTAGACCCGGCATCTCATCCGTGCCCTGGAACATAAAATCCCATGCTGGATTAACATTACAGAAGAAAATGCTTCAGAACAAACACTAAAAGCTGCATTTAGTTACTTTTAACCTATGCTAATTCACAAATTTCTTTTCTTTCTGGGGATAATTACAGATGATTATCCAGATTAATGATTTATTAATCATAAAATGCCTTCACTAATGTTTCATATGGGTGGTCAGACGTTGGTGTAGCCACATTGGGTAGAGCGGATGTGCTCCCCCTCCCCGCAGTTTAGATTAGTTTAAAAATTAAAATGGAACATCGATTATGTAAAAAGAAACGAAAAAAAAAAGTTCATATCTTTGGAGAATTCAAATTCAAAACTGAATTTTTGCCAAAAGAAGTAAAAAAAATTTCAAACCTGTATAGTGTAAGTCTTTCCACTTCCAGTAGCTCCGTAGGCGAACACCGTCGCATTGCAGCCATGAAAGAGTCCCGGAATCAAGGGGCAAACTTCTCTACTGAAGATCCGGCCAACATTGTTATCCTCCGGGGCAAAGAAGGAGTCTAACCGATAGCACTCGTTTCGGCTACACCCCGAAAAACAAAATCAGGAGTCACCATCAAAACCCAGCTTCCCAAATCAAGAAAGCCAAAATTCATCTCCGAATTGGCTGACAGAAAAGCAAGAAAATTACTCACCTTGTCACTTTATCTTTGAGATGAACAACCACTTCCTCGGTCGCAAACTCGGATTCTTTTTCGATAACGGAAGCGCACGGCGTCGGATCTCTGTTACCGTCAGCGATCTCTTGGGGAAGAAAAGGGCGCACCCGAGCGATCACCCTGACCTTCGAAATTGAACTGGGGTTCGTAGATTTTGCTGGAGTTGCAGAAGAACTGTCAAGAGCTCGACCCACCTCCATTGGAACAAAGGAAAGAGCTTTAGCTTGGATTTCAAGTGAGAGAGAGAATTGGGAATTTGCAGAACGGTCTGTAACTGAAAGATGGAGATTAAGAGGAGGTCTGAAACTATTTGTCGAACGTTGGGGCTTTTTCAGTTTGAATTTTTGGATTGGGTGCGGACTGTGCCGTTGGGCCTCGTGTGTGGTGGGGGCCTATTTCTTACTCCTTCGGAATGTTTGCTGTTTAGGATGAGAGATTTTTTAGTATAACCGCTATACGGATGGGACGTGTTATTATACAAATGATGAGATATAAATTTTTGTGTTTTGACTGTCGAACGTGGTTTGTACCCATGTTGAGTCAAGTGACATCTAAATGTAGGAAGCCCATTGTCGAACGTGGTTTGTACCCATGTTGAGTCAAGTGACATCTAAATGTAGGAAGCCCATTATTTATGAGCAAGTAGGACAGTGTAATTATACAAATGATGAGATATAAATTTTTGTATTTTGACTGTCGAACGTGGTTTGTACCCATGTTGAGTCAAGTGACATCTAAATGTAGGAAGCCCATTATTTATGAGCAAGTCGGACAGTGTAATTATTTCGACTAACACGTACAAGAACTAGTTCTTTTTTTTTTTTTTTGGGAGGGGGTGGGGTTAGCCTTACAAAGGGTTAGTAAATAGTGTGGTTCAAATTCGCTTTTAGCGAGAATTGAACCTAAGACCTTTTATTTATAGGTGAAGGTGAATACCACTAGATCGTAGTACTAAGTGGCATCAATAACTACTTTCTAAACAATGATAAATTCTTCCCCGTTGCTTGTTGAGATCAAATGAGGCCCATAGTAAGTATGGTCGTATTGTCTTTGCATTAGAAGAAAGACTTTTATGATATAAGTATACACTATCTTGACATTTGGTGTCAATACTATAAAAACATGTGTAAATTTTTATTTATAGCATCGTATCATTAACATAATTTGTTGATAGTATAACTAGGATTTGGATTTCGGATCCAAATTGTAGGAATTCTAGAAATTCTCACATCTTAATTGTTTATCGTACATCATGCAGTCAGAAATTATTTTGAATTTATTTATTTAAAACTAAACATAAATAATAATGAACATTAAATGCACAATATACGATAAACGATCATGATGTAAGGATTTCTGAAAACACCACAAAAAAGATCCGGTGGATTCTCATCCGTATAACCATGCCATCAAGTTGCTCTCATGAATTTTCGAAGTAAAAAAAGCTGCTCTCATGAATTTGGTTTGTATATGGGCCCCCACCATGGACCCACAACTTGTAAGACAAAGCCGCATATGACCGGCGGAGGGAAACTCTCTCCCAACCAGGCCCAAATGGCCCCCTCGTCAGAGTTTCAATTACCCAAACGTTTGAGGACCTGTCAGCAAGGCGGCGCAAATATGTGAAGGGTTTTAGACAAAGACCGTAATTGTATATGCGTTAAACCCTAAACCCCCAAAATTGTGGGAAATCACGAAGATGGAGAAGGGCATGCTGTCTGCAAACTTGGAGGGTCTTCCCGAAGAAGACAAGCACAGAATGGCCACCTTGATCGACCAACTCCAGATTCGCGACAGGTTTTTCTGATTTTTTTTTTAAATGCAGTGTTTTTTTGTAATTTGTTCTCAGTAATTTGTGATTAGTGAGGCATGTTCTTGATACGGTGCATGATAGATTGAAGTCTTAGAAAAATACCCACAAAATTAAATGGTTAATTGTTAGCAGGAAATTTGAAACTACGATGTGATTCCAATGTAATCAAGTATATGTTTTGAAATTTTGAAAACCGAACCGAACCGGATATATGTCTTGGGTTTGGCTCATGGTTTTGATGATGAACTGGCCCAAACCGAACTGTGCCCATCCCTACTGATTTCGGTTGTGTTTGTCCAAAAAATGCAGTCTGAGGATGTATAATTCATTGGTGGAGAGATGCTTTACCGACTGCGTAGACACCTTTTATCGCAAAGCGCTGACGAAGCAAGAGGATACGTGCGTTCGTAGGTGCGCTGAGAAGTTCCTCAAGCACTCGATGCGCGTTGGCATGAGGTTTGCAGAGCTTAATCAAGGAGCGGCTACTCAAGATTAAGCTAAGCTCTATGTATGAATCATTTTTTGGTATGGAAGGTCTTGGAAATCTTTCGAGTCGGTTTACGGAAGTTGCAATTTGTTTAGCCTTGATTCTAGAATTGTGTTTCTTACACTGATTAGATTCGTACATTTTCAAAAGAAAAAAAATATTCATGGTGAGGTTTTACAGTTAGCTGGAACTGGATATGAATTGGTTATGATTTATGATTTTGCCCTTTTATTCGCGTATCATATCTGGTGTGGTAAATTCGTTGTGTACACGTAGACTGTGATTGAAAGTTTAGGAGGAACGGCTCCTTGCCTCTGCAGCATTGCAAGTGTAGAGATTGAGATTGTGTAGTTTTGTTCATTGATGAAGTCCCGACTGCGAAAAAATGAATATAGGATTTGGGATTGATAGACTTTGATGCAACCCTTCATTCTTGGTATACAGATCCTTCCATTCTTCCCCTTAATTTAGAACTTGACTTCGGTTGGCAGTGATCTTGATAGTGAGGCAACCAAGTGATTTAGATTAGATGAGAAGAAAATTGGTTTGTAAAATCACCGCCTTCTGAGCCTTTTCCCCTTTCTGCTAAGGATGATAAAGATTACGATGTGACTGTGAAAGTATCTCAAGGACTAGAAAAGGAAAACTCGAAGGGAGATTACCTAACAGTGAATGAAGAAGTTGCCAGTTGGTCTCCCGGGCATGGAGGTCCCTGCTTGAACTTGATGAGCAATTAGGCAGAAATGTGAGCAAGCAGATGCAGGGGATTGAATTGAACATGCTGTGATGCAGGCAATTTTTTGCTTCGATGATTGTTTTGGAATGCAGTTTTCTAGTGCTTGTTATTTGGGATTCAATCATGTATATTTTTACGTTGAGTTGTGTTATTGAAGGAAGGATGAAGGTTGTTCTTGGTAAAGATTCCATGATGCTTTGTGGGGAAGTTGTTGGATATAAAGATGTCAAATGCTAGGTTTGAAGTTCTCTTGCTCACTAGTGGTTTTTGGTATTTTAAAAACTCATTAAAAACCCAACTGAATACTTTGTTAAAAAAAAAAAAGAAAAAAAAAAGAAAAAGCTTAGAAAAGCACTTCTATTTAAAAAGCACATTTAAAGCCCTTTCAAATTTTTGTTAAACACTTCTAGTCTTGAAGGCCTCTTTGATGTCTAGCGTTTAGCTTGTATAAGGTAAATCATCAGATTGAGTGAATACCGAATGAAGAATTAGATGTCCACTTGCATTTTTTTGTCAAAATGAAGGTAGAATATGGATTAGCTATGACAAAAACTTATTCCGACCAATTCTATCATTTTTTGTAGGAATTAAAGGGATCAATTTCATACCTAATCCATCTTCTATCTTCATGACCAAAAACCCAAATAGACTTTCATTTTTCGATTCATAATCAGTTTGAAAACAATTTCACTTGAAATGAAAACGATTTTTGTACATTATTTTCTCCTTCTAAACATCTATGTTTATTATGTCATTTGATTCTTCTTATTTTATTCAATTCAAACGTCATAAATAAACAATGGTGTTTTCGGTTCCATACTTTCTGTTTTTTTTTTAAAACCGAAGATAGGATTAATTAAAGACGAATAGGAATGTTTACATCGTGGGCTAGAACATTAAACAGAAACTCCCGCCCAATACAATCCCAAACAAAATCACCACCTTTCTGAAAGGCAAACTTCGCCATCGAGTGAGCCGCACGGTTGCTCTCCCTAGGCATAAACGAAAACGTCACAGAACCTCTGTACTAGAATCTCGATGTCACCAAGGATGCATTCAATGCTGTAGTCTTGTGTAGATTCTTTCTTTAGCATCTGGATAATAACTAAAGCATCAGATTCAATTACCACATTATTAAAGCCGTTATCAATGCAGGCCAACAGAGCGCTCCGGATAGCACATGCCTCAGCAGCCGCCGCACTGTGACAAAAGCCAGATCCCGATCTTCCAGCAGTTTGAAGCAGACCCGCAAAGTCACGGCCCACCCATCCCACTCCAGCTCGCAAAGAAGACCTACACCAAGCCGCATCGGTATTCATCTTAATGGTGCCAAATTTTGGTTTCTTCCATTGAGACTGCGGACGATTCGCCAGCTTGTGGGGTTTTGAGTTCTGTTGACATTCTCCCTCGAGACTCTGGGACAGAGCCTCACGGTAATCGGAAATATTCTTCCTCCATAGCGTCATGACTTCTAGGTGTTGTCTGTGTACACCATTGAATACCAATTCATTTTTGTTTTTCCATAGTCTTCAGATACCGAAAGCAAACTCCTAGAGAATCTCCTCATTCTTTTTCGTATTCTTGATTCTGGTACAAATTTTATCCCAACTTTCCAGGAAGTCGGCTTCAGCCAGCTCTCGGGAGTTTATATGTATAGGGGAACCAAACCAAAATCGATGGCTGAAATCACAATGGAAGAATAAGTGATTTTCCGATTCATCAAAAGTGTTACATAGCCCACAAATGTTTTCGACTCGCATTTGGCGTCGTTGAAGATTGTGACGCATCGCCAGAGCATTATTGCAACACTTCCAGATGAAGAATTTAATTTTGTTGGGAACCTGCAACGTCCAAATCTTTTTCCATACCAAGTTGTTCCTGCGGTGCTCACTAGGCGTACCCCGACCTTTCCTACCCAGGGCGCCGTTCTCCATCAAATTCATTGCCACTCCATACCCAGTTTTAACAGAGTAATCGCCATTCACCGTATAGTGCCATACTATTCTGTCATAACAGCTAGATTTACTTAGAGCTATGCTTAAAATTTGCCTCGCTTCATCCCAGTTGAAACCAGCCGAGATAACCTCTTCCTTCCAGGACTTTGAGACCGGTTCAATTAGATCTCGTACCATAATTTCTTCTAGGCTGTCCTTCAGGTTAGCCAAGAAAGTTGTAGGTGTCGGTAACCACGGATCATTTCGAATATTTATGCTTTCCTCATCTCCTACCCGCCACCTTACATAATGTTGAAGTACCATGCGACCTTCGTAGATGCCTTTCCATCCCGACGATGTGTTCCTCCCTCTTCCAGCATCCTTGAAAACTTTTCCTGGAAAATATTTATCTCTCAAAACAGTCGCAAGAAGGGAAGTGGGATTTTGGATCAACCGCCAGCCAATCTTTGCAAGGAAAGCAAGGTTAAAGCACTGGATATCCTTAAAACCCAAACCACCGGCCTGTTTTTGTTTCATTAGCCGATCCCATGAAATCCAATGACATCCCCTTCTCTGATCATTTCCTTTCCACCAGTAGCTTCAGATTGCTTTCTCCACATCCCTATAGACCCCAATGGGGAGTTTGAAGCAGCTCATGGCGAAGTTTGGCAGAGCCATAGCAACTGCCTTTACCAGGACTTCCTTCTCAGCTTGGGATAGGAATTGCTCCTACCAACCCGCTAACCTGGCTTCAATCTTATCTCGAATCTCCGCAAAGACAGCTTTTTTGGAGAGTCCAAAATCAGCCTGCAGTCCAAGATACTTCCCGAAACCATCCTTGTATTGTATCCCCAGAGTTTCCCCAATTTTCTTCTTGGTCCTTTTAGATGTCGAAGTTCCAAAGAAAATCGAGCTCTTGGACATATTAATCTCCTGCCCAGATCCGCTAGCATACACATTCAGGACATCTGCCACACCTTGGGCCTCCTCAACCATAGCATTCCCAAAGAGGACTGAGTCGCCTGTGAAGAAAAGATGAGTAATAGGAGTCCCATTAGGTGTCATCTTGTAGCCATGGAGGGCTCCACGTTCCAGCCCTTTCCTAATCAAACTGGAGAAACCCTCAGTGCAAATTAGGAAAAGGAAAGGAGATAAGGGGTCCCCTTGTCTTAAGCCCCTCTTCGGTTGGATGTAACCCGTCGGAGAGCCATTGATAAGGATACTAAATGATACAGTAGAAATACATTCTTTTACCCTATTGCAGAACATCGGTGTAAACCCCAATTTAATCATCATGGAGAGAAGGAAATCCCATTCCACACGATCGTAAGCCTTTGCCATGTCCAACTTGATGGCCATTCCTTTCTGGTTTTCCTTACTTTGATGGTTCAGGGAGTGGAGGATCTCGTGTACCACCAGAATATTGTCATGTATTTACTTCCCAGCAACAAAGGCAGATTGATTTTCGCCAATCACCTTCGGCATTATCTTTTTGAGTCTGTTAGTCATCACCTTAGCCAAGATCTTGTAGCTAACGTTACAGAGGGCAATAGGTCTGAATTGCGTCATGTTCTTTGGACATTTCACCTTAGGTATAAGGACTAAATTTGTGTGATTTAGTTTCCTCAGAAGGGTTCCTGAGTGCCAAAATGCTTTGATGGTCTTCACCACATCCTTTCCCACTGTCGTCCAGTGATCTTTATAGAAGCATCCAGAGAATCCGTCAGGCCCCGGGGCTCTTGCGGATGGAATTTGAAAAGCAACCTCCTTAATTTCTTCATCAGTGATAGGTGCCACTAGGTCGCGGTTATCCTCCGGTGTCACCCTAGTCTCCATGCAGTCTTCTACTTCCTTACTTTGGCTGGGCCTGCATGACTGAAATAAACCAGTAAAATAAGAGTTAGCAATATCACATATATCTTTGACTCTCATGTCACTTTCCGTTGGAGTTCTCTAGACCCTTTATCTGATTGTATCTTCTTCTTTTCAACGTTTGAGCATGAAATTTTTTTGTGTTTTTGTCTCCCTCTCGTAGCCATTGAACTCTGGATTTGGCTTCCCAGTAGGCTTCTTCGTTTCTGTGGGCAAACCGAAGATCTCTCTCTTTTAGTTTAACCTCCTCAGAGGCAAATTGGTTAGACATGTAAGCCCTCCTGATCTCTTCTTTCAGTTTGTCAATGGCTTTTTTTGAATTTCTACCCCTGCCTTTATACCACACCTTAAGGCTCTTCCTGAGCTTTTTCAGTTTTTCGCAAAACCAGAAAGCATGAGATCCACCAAGCTTGCCTTCCCATTCATTTGCCACAAGCTCACGGCATTCCTCCAGTTTACTCCAGCGGGCATCATAAGAGAATTTTCTTCCTCTCCACGCTTTAAGCTTCTAATGGAAAGAAAAAGCATGGCATGATCAGATCCTTCAAGCACCATATGTCTTATTGTAGTGTCCGGGTATATGTTGTTCCAGCCCATCGTTGCTAGCTCCCGATCAAGCCTTTGTTGGATAGGTAAGGACTCTCTATTGTTTCTCCACGTGAAAGGATATCCTAGGTCCATGAGTTCATTCCTGGCCACGAACTCCCTGAAATCTCTCATACTGGAAGCCGGTCTGTAATTTCCTCATTCCTTTTCTTCATTGCATAGGACGTCGTTAAAATCTCTCATACTTTTTGCTTTGAATACAAGTGATATTTTATACTAATCTCAATAAGAGAAGGGGAAACGAAAAGTGCTTGAATTCAGAAAATAGCTTATTTGAGAGACTAGACGATCCAACAAAACATATATACACCTTTCCAAACATGTTTGATTGCTTCAAGTTTCATCAATTTTTACGAATTTGAATTGGAGCAATCTGACATGGTCAGAAAATTACAATAGGAATTAAGGTGAAATTAGAACATAAAGGAGAGAGAAAAAAAAACAACTTGCACTAAATAATTGGTCACGTTGAGGGTTTTCCCGCCAACCAACGGTCCAGATTCACGAGAATAATACAACCTAACACAAAGAGAGAAAAAAACATCATCAGGCACCGTTCATTCACCCATTGATCTGACGTTCCAGCCAACATTTAGTACCCTAACCCGCCATTTAATAATTAAAACGTTCTTTTCCAAACAAAACCCACTTAAACGACGACCCATTTATTCCCCAATCCAACGGTCCATAACTCCCCGCGCAATCAAACCGCTCATCCAACCGCTCCAAACCTGTTCGACATTTAACAAAGGGGCTCAGAGTGCCGTTTGAGGTTCAAACTTTTGGCTAACGTTCCCAGCACGCCGTCACCCGCAGTTAACTGACAGGGTTTTCTATACCTCGCAAAAACTCATACCTCTTTCGGTAACGGTAATTAACGGAGACGTCGGTGCATATATATTCGTTATAAAATTTTCTAAACATTTTTTTAAAGTATTTAAATATTATTTCCCCCAGGTTCTAACCTCTGTTCTCTCTCTCATCGTTTCAACGGGCGAGGATTTTTCGAAACCAAAAAGCTCTCCTCTTTCTTTCATGTTTCAGAGAAGAAGGGTTCTGAAATTCTATTGGGTTTAATCGATGAGCTCGATTTCGATTCCCGCCACTTCTTCGCAAGCAGAGGTAACTCTTACCTTTTCAGAAAAATCGTTTTTATGTTTTTGAAAACTCTTGTCCTTGTTTTTGTTTTTTTGCTTTTCAATTATTTTCCACTGGGTTCGATCAAGTTTTTACGATTTATTAGACTTCAAGTTGCTTGGATTCGTATTGGGGTTTTTGGGTTTTCAATAAAAGCCCTAGAAGAATTGTGTTTAATTTGCAGTTTTTTTTTTATCTGAAAACGAGTTTTTAAGATCTGGGTCTTCCTTGTCTGGGTCTATGGCGGTACGGTTTTGGAGATTTTGGAGTAAAGTTCGGGGGTGTTAGGTGTTTTCGATTTGGTTTAGGGTTTTCTCTTAGAGGGTTATGTTTTGTATTTGTGTGTTTGTGTATCTATTTATTGATTGGGATATTGGATTTTCGAGATTATTTTTAGGAGGAGATGGCTGGGGCAAAATTAGAGGAGTGTTGCCTTGAGAATAAGCAATCCATGGCTACATCGAGCTCGTCTGTATCCGAAGGCAGTGGCAGTGCTATTATCAAGTCCCCAGGGGCTTGCAGCCCAGCATCTGCTTCTCCTACTCAACGGTACTTTTCCTCAATCCTTAATAGCTGTGATTTAGTTACAACTATATTGACGGTCTCTATTTGAAAACCATTCAATTACAAATTTGGTGTTCATCTTTAGTTCCATGCATCTGCTTTTAGAAATTATATGGTTTTCAATGGATTTTTGTATCCTTACCAGCTGGAAAATCGATCTGCTAACTTAATTTTCCTTTTGACCATTATGCATAACTTATAATTGTCATCGAAAGTTTTGTGGCCACTGAACTGAAATGTGTTTTTTCACCTTTCAGGAGAACTAGTGGTCCTATTAGGCGAGCCAAAGGCGGTTGGACTCCACAAGAGGTCAGCATTTCATTTTGTACTTATGTTCACTTGTTTGTATTGTC